GCTGAAGGACTCAAAGGATGAAAACTGCAGATGAAAAGAGGGGCTTAGAGCTCTGAGAACAGAAATGAGTTCATTTATGTTGGGTCTCCTCACTACTGTGTTGTTTTACAGTAAATGTGGTAGGAGCTGAGTGAACTGGGCCCTAAGGGGCTTGCCCTCTTTTGTCTCATCATTTTTTATAACTATAAAAATCAGTATCAGGCCCTGAAATAAAAATCAGTAAAATGTTTAAAAGCATGACTACTTTGGCATGTAGAAAAGGTGGCTTACTGAATCAGAAGGGATGTGATTCCTAGAGTCCAGAATATGTCACAAAATGTCAAAATGACTCTATGGGAACAACTTCTTGATAGACAGCTGGTGTTTTGTCGCACTTCTACATGAATGTAAATTATTGTAGAAATACAGTTGGGTTCAAATGCTCAAAAAGTAAATTATATTTTTTAATGGCCAGGGTTTTGTAAGATATATGGACCTTTGTTTTTCCCAGTTATTATATGCTTGTATTTTTATGCCGCCAAAAGGGGGCTGAAATGGTCCGCAGCTTCTTCTTTATGACTGAATGGCTTCGCGGCCATGCCAGCCATTCAGAGTGGCCGCTAAGGGCCACGCAAAGCCCGCGGTAGCGCCCTTCACTCCGTGTGGACCGCTTTCCTGGGGCACAGTGCTAAGAACAGTGCCACTAATGGAAAGACAGTACACTAACGTGGCAGAAAGGTGACTTATTGGAGATCTCAGAGATAAAATGCATTTATCATTATATTCCCTTATTTTCCCATTAGGGGATTATAAAAGGCAGAAAACTGTTTTACCCAGTGTTATATGAAGATCTTAATTAATGCCTGTAATTCTTTGGAGGTAAAATCAATTCCAAGGAAATTGAATTAACACCACTCATATGCCATTCAAGTCATGGTAAATTTACTTTGACTGAACTCTCATTAAATTCCATTAAATTGTATGGCATATTAACTGGTTAAAATAAGATAAATTGGTGACATGATTTTAGCTCGTTAGGTAAGCTATTTTTCTTTGTACAAAAATTTGACTAATAAAAATTTAGTGTAAACATATTTTCCAGCACTTTAATTCAATGATAAAAAAATGTTTAAGCTGGCTATTTTAATTCCATAATCTCTAGAATTGTTTGCTGATTTGTTTTTGTGGTTGACCCTTTCCCAGCTAACCACAACTATTTAAGGGCCTTTTAAAACTCTTGAAACTATTTTAGAGTCAATTTAAGTTATTTAACCACTTTTAATTACTTTAAAATGATGTCAACTTCTTTTAAAACTGCTAATTTATTTAGAGGGGGAGAAAAGCTGCTAATAATTCTGCTGTTTTTCTTGGCAAAGTGCTCTCGGTTTTCATTTTTGCTGTCACTCTGTCACCTAAGGGTTGTCGTCCCCACAGAGGGGGAATTCCGAGAAGCCATCTGGCAGCTGCTGGAGGTCAGAAGTGAAGCCAGTCAGTTCCTCCTAGGCAGGTGGCCAAGATTACAGTTGACCTTTTCTGGGGTGGCTAAAAATTGCCCCATGTGGTTACAGGCCATCAGACCAGGGTCCAGGTCTCACCTGGAGGCCTTGTAAGAGCTGAGAGAGTGGCTGAACATGCACCTAAACACAGACCCTGGCTCAAGGCCCCGTCCATAGGGTGGGTCTCTAGCTTGGCCACTCTAAAGGAAGCCATAGAGAAATTGAAATCAGAGTATTCTTGAAAGAGGCAGGAGAAAATGAAAACCAACCTTCTGCTCCTACCTTAGGTATTTGTGTGTTCAGACTCGCAAACACCAGGGATGTCAAGTAAACTGGCCTGTTTTTTCTCTCTCTGAAGCATGCAACCATTGCAGCTGATGGAGAACACAGTTTCAGGGAAGATAGGTATAGGAAGAAGTCTGGAAATAGCTTCAAAGGGCCAGATGCAATTTGCTTTCCAAAGAAGTAGCCACGAACTAGGGAATAACTCAAAACCAACAAGATTGTATATGTGTACTTCCTGGATTCACTGCTCCTAGTCTGAAGGAGAAGTGTGCTTTTCTGTGTGTCTGTCTACAATGCATGTGACTGTCCACACACAATACACCCAAAGAGAGACCATCACTGTTACTTCATGCATCCTCTGTGTTTCCTTCCTCAGGGGCTGATGCCAAGCCAACTGTTTCCATCTTCCCACCATCCAGAGAGCAGTTACAGGATGGAACTGCCTCAGTCGTGTGCTTCCTGAACAACTTCTACCCCAAAGAAGCCAGTGTCAAGTGGGTAGTAGATGGCAGTGAACAACGAAATGGAATTGTGAGCAGTACGACCGATCAGGACAGCAAAGACAACACCTACAGCATGAGCAGCACCCTCATGTTGACCAAAGCAGAGTATGAGAGTCACAGCTTGTATGCCTGTGAGGTCACCCACAAGACGTCACCTACAGCCATCGTCAAGAGCTTCAAGAAGGATGAGTGTTAGAGCCGCAGGTCCTGAGTCACCACCACCTGCCCCTGGGACCCTGCTCTCTGGGACCATCCTCAGTCTTCCCTCCTAAGGTCTTGGAGCTTTCTCCACAGACAACCTGCCACTGTTGCAGTCCTCAAATCCCCTCCCTGCCTCATCCCCCTCCCTTTCCTTGGCTTTTATCATGCTAATATTTGGGGAAGATATTGAATAAAGTGAATCTTTGCACTTGAGATTTTTGTTTCCTTTCTTACTAACTGTTAACAGTTGTCTTCTCTAGTTACCTGGTTTCTCTTCAAATGAAGTTAAATATCTAGTTACCCTGAAATCCATGACACTTAAAACATAAATAAAATCCTCCATCTGCCTTGTGTGGCTGTCCTCTACATGACAGCCCTCTCTAGGGTTCCCAAGTACTATTCGCATCTCACCCTTCTGGGCCATGGTGGGTTGGAAGAGGTTCCTAGTTTTTCCTCTCTTAAGTCCTCAAAGTCCAAAAGGGGACAGTTTTTACAAGCACATATTCTATGATCTGATTTAGCCTACCCTGAAAACTTGACAAAGCAATGAAAAGCCTTTGCCCCAGGGAGTGGAGAGAACCTAAAGGAACAAGCAATAGGGAAATGTTTGTGGCCATCATAGCACCTGAGCATCATGAGCTCTTATGCCTTCATTGTGTTCTTAAACATGGGTAGACTCCTATTGGCAATGCTGGGCACTGTCCACAGCCTACTTCAAGACTCACTATACCATGAGATTAAACATGTTCATCAAAATTATGGAAGACACACTGGTGGATGTAGGATAAGTTATGACATAACAAGAAGGGAATTCTGGATATTGGAGCATGTTCTGTGTCTCGGTGTGGGCTGCATCACTTTGTGAAAATTAATATTGTGGTGTTGGAATCTATGTTCTTTCTTAATAACTTCACATAAAGAAATAGCTAATACCCAGTGCACGGATAAGAGAGAATATAGAAGGAATGGACCACAGATCAAGGCCAGAAAGACAGTACTGGAGGATCCAAGATCAAATGTCCACATTCCTAAATCTGCTCTCTTGTGCCCTCTGTTATTCTACCTTCCAGAACTCAGACTGTAGTGAGTCAAACACGTGATACTTCCTTGGGGTGTCCTCCTCCACCCACCAAACTAGGAACATACATGTATAAAAAATGGGATGGATGAGACCTTCAGCAATTGGTCAAGTCATATAAATAATTTTGTCTAGATATGAAGAGGCCGTGTATCAAAGGTTATGTTTGGGAAGGAAGAGGATACATAACACTTTCACCCTCCCCCTCTTCCTTGAGACGCCTGGGTTTAGTCCCTCATGAGTTCATCCACTCAACACACGTTTATTAAGCACCTTCTCAGCCTACACTCTGAAGGGGATAGAGAAATAATTAAGATAGTATCCTTTCTCTCAGTTAGTACAAGTCTAGTTTTCCTACTCCTCCTCTTTCTCAATCAGCTCTAAAATGAAGAGAAAGGACGGTCACCCAATCAGATAGGGAAACACTTTGCCTTTCTACTGCGTGAGAATATTCATTACTATCCACTTCTTGAAACTTTAGAGGTCTTGAGTTTTGTTTTGTTTTTTTACTTAATATGTCTTTTCAAATAACATGAACTTGTTCACCCATTTCTGTGAACCAAATTTAGCAATCAACAACACCTCTAATCTGGCTATGAATGAAAAGCAAGCCTCTTCTGAGGCAAGATTCTGAAGCCAGACCCATCAGGAACCAAACAAGAGAAAATAAATGTTGTATGTTGAATCTTGCTCCTCAAAAATATATATGCTCAAGTCTTAACTACAACAGTGCCCTCAATATAAAGGAAGGAAGGATATATATATAAGCTCTGAGATAATTCTGAGCATCCTTGTGCTTAGTGAGAAAAAAAAACTAGTCTAATGTCCCATGCCATAATCTTTTTATTTAACATTCTTGAAATTACACTATTAAAGAGGAGAGCAGATCACAGATTCCTAGGAGCTAGGGATGTTGGGGCCCAGAAAGCAGATGTGACTATCGTGGTCATAGAATCACTGTCTTGATTTCAGTAGTGGTTATGTATGTCTAGATATGTGATAAAATGGTTTAGAGTTGTATACACACATTGTGCCAATGTCAAATGCTTAGTTTTGGCATTATATTATAATTATGCAATAATTATTTGGACAAAGTGGGTGGAGGTCACATCAAAGATGAGACTGTGCTTGTTGGGAACATAACTTAAAAACCATTTTGTGTGACTTAAAATAATATGATGCCTAAGCTTGTCACTAAGTAGATCTAATAAGATCTAAGCCTCAGAAGCAAGCCCCTGGCAGGTCACCAAGCAACTCAGATAGGACCTAAGCCCAGGACAGACCTTGATATACTAATAAACTAACCCCAAGGTGGTGGTGTTGATAGGCTAGTGAATCAGCCTCAAGCTGTGAGCCTTGATAGCACAAAGCTACTGCCGATAAAATGATACAAAAGTTGGGAATGGTCTCTAGGATCACTTTGCAATGCTCCTGAGACATGGCTTCTCTAGCTTTTGTGTTGCTATCCATCAGCAAGGGGACTTGAGACTCTGTATGGCCCTGGCTTCGATTGCTGTTGAGCTTCCCACAGTCGCTGGGCCCACATAGGCCCATCTGTCAACACTAGCTGTTGGCCTACATTCTCAAGGACCTCCTGAACCTCCATCAATGCCAATATCCCAGGCTGCCACAGCTGAAGACCATCACTGCAGACTTTGGTTGAGACAGAAAGTTTTCAAAGCGTCCTCACCAAAGATTTCCCAGTGGGACCCTGCAGCAGCATTTCTGCCCAAACAAGTGTTTCCTGCCTAGTGAGATGTCTGCTTAGCTTTCATATTAGCATGATACTATAAGGAATGTTTGTGTGGATAAAGCATATTAAAAAGACATATCTTGTGTGGACGTACTAACTGAGGATGTCCCATAGGCCCATGCTTTCCACAATACTGGATCCAAATGAGTCCTAAATCCAATGTTTGGCTTCTTTATAGAGAGAGAGAGATTAATGATGTGGAGACATGCAGAGAGTGCACCCTATCATCGTGGAGACAGACTGGAGTAACACAGCAGCATGTCAAGGAAGATTAAGGACTGCCTGGAGCAACCAAAGGCTGGGAAAGAGGTATGAAATGGCTTCTCCCTCAAAGTAGCCAGAGGAAACCAACTCAACCAATACCTTTTTGCTTAAGACTTGTAACCTTCAGAACTGTGAGAGGGTAACTTCCTATTGTTTTAAGCCCCAGTGTTTGGCTCCTTGTTAGGGTAGAGCTAGGAAACCAGTACAATGCAGACAGCCAAAAGGCTAGCTTAGCTTTCAAGGACCTTCCTTCTAAATTTATGAGTTGGCCCACAGGTGTTCATCTGCCCAAAGATGGCTGTGTCAAATTTGGAAAGTTCAAGTCAACATGAATTAAAGATCAAATACACAAGAACTGCTTCTCTTGGTAAGTAACATACATGCCTTCTACTCTAAAATAGTGTGGAGTCAGCCTTCAACAGTGTCATGTACTGGCTGTATAAGTTCTTTACCTTGCATGGGATTCGATTTCTTTCATATATGATGCATATACTGATGGCAATCACTGGAAAGGCAAGAAGTTGTGAAGATTAAAAGGAGCAGTGTAGAGCTGGACACACCGCAGGCCTCATACTCAAAGTCCAGTGAAGCTGGCCAGTGAATGAGCACATTTGCTTTCAGTGATGTGCAGGAGGGACTATGTCTTTGACACCAAATCCCATGAGTCTTGTGGTAGACACAGGAGGGAAAAGATGCAACAGAGAAAGAAAAGAAAGGAAGGCGAATTAAAGATGGAAGACAAGAAAAAGATGGGAGAAAACAAAGCAATAATCCCCAAGCTCAGGAGGCAGAGGCAAGCAGGTCTCTGTGAATTCCAGGCCACTCTGGTCTACAGAGTGAATTCCAGGCCAGCCAGAGCTACATAATGAATGAGAGGAGGAAGAAGAAGGAAGGAAAAGGAGGAGATCTGTTAAGGAAAACTAGGAAGGTCCTGCCATGGCATTCCCCACCCATAGCAAGGAGGGTGTCCCATCTGCAGGTCAGATAGATTCTTAGCACACTGTGGGGCTTGCCTGTTAATGAGAGAGAAGAGGTAGGCCCACACTCATGGTGCAGAGCGGGGTGTCAATTACTGGATAGTAAATAAGCCTAGACCTCTTAAGAGCAGTGTATAGATTATACTGAGACAAAAAGATAGTAGGTAAAATTAGAACTTCTTGATAGTAGGCAATGGAGTTTAGTGTCACAGATTGGGACGAGAGCTAAGCCACCACCTCCTGAAGTCATCCACATTCCTCCAGCCCAGTCCTGGTTCCCTCAGGTGTGTGATTGCCCCCTCTACACCTGTCAGCAAGACAAAGAGCTGCATCAGGGATCTTGAAGTTCCTTTCCAGCTTTAATGTCTACATCTCAGAGTGGGATCCTCTGTGACTTCGAATGAGTGGTAGCTTTCCATTTGTAACTTTTTTGTCTATAAATGAAAGAATTTTGAAGTGGAAAAGGGTGCATGAGCCCCCAGCACTAATGAGGAGCTATGGACACCTGATGGCTTCTAGGGGACCGAGAGTCAGTTTTCTTTAAAAGTCCAGCTTCTGCTGGATCCAGCATATTCCAGTGAATGGCCTCACACCCAGGAGTACACAGACAGCAGAAACTGGAGTCAGTGGGTCATTTTAAAAATAAAAAGGGGTGTGAAGTTGGGGGTTAGAAAGTAGGGGTAGACTTGGAAGGAGTTAGTGAAGGAAATGCAGGAAATTCTCAAAGAATTAATTAAAACTTTTCTTTTTAAAAGAGAGAATTTCCAGGGTCAACTATGCTTCCTAAAATTTGCTTCTGGAGAAGTTAACAAGTCAAATAAATCATTGTGGAGAAAAGGTAAATGGAGAGGGGACTAGTGGGAGAGGGAGGGAAGGAAATTAAGAAAGAGGTGGAGGGAGCTGGAGGAGGAGGAAGGGGAGGTAAAGCTGATTGATGCTGGGTAGGAAAGGAAACAGGAAGAAGGGGAAGCCAAGATGGACACGTGTTTGTGATTTGCACTTAGTCATGGCAAAGTTATTGATGAGTCTAAGACTTAACTCTTCTCTTGTGTCAACCCAGGAACATCTTGTTCTTTCTTACAACCAGGCCCCCAGTAAACTGGTGTCTATGCCAGGCCCTTTTATCTTCTCATAGAAGTGC